GACTTATTGTTAAACGATATTCAAATATATTTTTATTTTTGAAAAATGAGATTTTTGAGGTGGAACAAACATCTTTAATCAGTGTTGCCAGACGTTCGGACGCGGTTGGGGACATTCGGTAATTCTATAATGTGTACGGTATACGGACGGATGAATAAAAACAATAATATAAGATACGGTAATTTTAATTGTTTCCAATTAATTACTATAAAAAAAAAAACCCCGTGGCCCGCCCCGCTCAGTGTGGCAGCGCTCGACGCTCATTCTGTATTTATCCATATAGATTGTAAAATAATTATTTTTTCTATTATACAATGCATTCTATCGGCAGCTGGAACAAACATGATTTTAGTAGCCTAATATCTCTATACCAGGGGTGTCCAACTTGCATGGCCTCAAGGGCCAAAACTTAAACCTCTGATCTGGTTGCGGGCTATATACTAATTTTATTAATGTAACAGCAAAATAATGAGAAGTATAAAAATAATTAAAACAAAAAGTAGTATTATTTATTTTATTGCTCAACATCTACATTTTTTATATATACAGAAAATGTAGACTCTACATTGAAGAGGTAGTTTTTCAAGAACTAAGATAAACATTGTAATAATAATGAAAATATATCTAATGTGAAGACTGTGGTCGATCGGCTTTATCCACCAATGAAGAAACGTCCACTGCCAATTCAGTTGTAGACAGTCTCATGAGATGACGTAAGGTAGAATCGGTAAGGTTGCTTCTGTTGGGGTTTTTAATGTATTTCATGTAGGAAAAGGCACTTTCACATATATATGTGCTTCCGAACATTGATGTCATTTTTAGTCCAAAACCTCGCAGATTTGGGAATTTCTCCTTAGACAGCAATTTAAAAAATTCAGGTCCCTTTTCTTGTCAGGTGATTAGAAACATATCAGCTTGAAGGTCACATAACTCAAGTTGTAAGTCAGGTGGTTGATCTTCAATGTATGCTCCAAGAGGATTATTATAAAGCAGTACACTGCTTTTGAGACTTTCGATATCTTTAAATCGTGTATTGAATTCATTAATAACTTGTTGAATTTGTGAACTGCAGCATGAAAAGTCAATATTTTTCTCGCTGTTGAGTTCTTCTGCTAGTTTCAGGCAGCTAGGGAAGTGTGTTAGGTTGTTCTTTTCCAAAGTATATTTAAACACGTTTAGTTTATTCCAGAATCCGTTTATTATTCCGACCAAATCTGAAACCGTCTGGTTTCTTCCTTGAAGACTCAAGTTTAAACTGTTAAGGTGATTAGTCAGATCTGTTATAAAAGCTAACTGTTTTAAGAATTCTGGATCCTGAAACTTCTCTTCTTGTTCAGTTGTGTCGGATAAAACGTATTTATTAAGAAATGCAGGGATTTCATTTCTTATGGAAAAAAATCGTTCCATGCACTTTCCTGCACTCAGCCACCTTACATGGTTGTACATTAGCAAGTTTCCATACTCAGCCTCTGTTTCTACTAAAAACTGCCTAAGTTGCCTGTGTAAAAGGGATCGATTTCCACCTCTAATCATATTTATAATTTTAATCACGGTCTGAAAAACTTGATCCTGCTTGACTGATTTTCCACATAAAGATCCCTGATGTACGAGTATAATACAATGTATTGTCGGACAAGTAACACCATTCTCTTGAAGCAGACCCACTAATACAGTTTTTTTACCAGTCATTGATGGGGCCCCGTCTGTTGCTATGGCTGAACATTTATTAAAGCCTCCAATTCTGCCAACTGTTTTTTTCAAAGCCTCATAGACGTCTTTTCCTTTTGTTGTTCCATAAAGAGGACAAATATCAAATAGCTCTTTTTTACTAGTAAAATCCTCAAAAGTAGTGCGCACGAATATCAACAGCTGACTTACATCTGATTGATCAGTGCTTTCATCCAGACAAAGTGAGAAATACGAACTTTTTTTAACCAGGCTAAGCATAGAGTTTTCTACTTGCTCACCCATAGCAACAACCCTTCTTTGTATGGTTTGATTTGAAAGTTGCACGGATTCAAATTTCTCTGCCATTTTGGAATCTTCAAAAGCTTTGGTTATTTCAACGGGACATTTTTTAATTAAATTGGCATCAGTGAAAGGTTTTTTTTGCCTTTGCCAGCTCAAGCGACACGGCATAAGATGCATGCAAAGAATGCGATTGAGAGCGCAATATTTTACTAAACATACCAGTTTGCTGTTTAAGCTTTTTCTTCAAATCTGCAACTAGCGCACGCCGACTTTCATTTGTATACGTAGCATACTTCTTTTCATGCATTGTTGTGTAGTGTCTTCTCACATTATATTCTTTAGGCACAGAAACAACATTCATGCATACTAAACACTGCAACTTTCCATTATTGTTAGTAATCGAGTAATCATTCTCCCAACTTTCTTTATAACTCCTGTTCTCACTGTCAATTTTACGTTTTACACTCATAATTATATTGAAGTTTAAGGAATCAAGACAAAAAATTAAATAATTAACTAAGATATGTAACAGACAACTCATCGAAGCACACTGGCGCGTGGCGATTAACGGCGCGACGGACAATTGACAGTTTATTATGACTGATTAAAAATAGAACACATATAATTCATTGAAAACCCGCACACTGATAAGTAATAGTTAACACAAAACACTTTTGCTCTTTAGTGATTTCTAGTCATGACTAATCGTGTTTTAATATTATTGATAATTACTAAACTGTTTTTGTATAATATATTTTATACCTATAAGTATATACTCGTATATGTATACCTATAAATTATTTTTTACTATGCATTTTGTGTTTTTCTTTTTTTCATCTGTTTTTACAATGGTAGTATTTAAAGAAAATAAATGATTTCCGTAAAACCTTACGCGGGCCACAGTTAATAGCATCGCGGGCCGGATGCGGCCCGCGGGCCGCCAGTTGGACAACTCTGCTCTATACCATGGACTATCTATCTATTCTATAATCGATGGTTAAGTGGTTAGGATTTGATAAGACGCATAATAATTTGATAAAAGCGGACGATTTCCGGCTATAGTTATAGTACTATCGACACTTTCAATCAACACAGACGTTATGGATGTTTTTGATCACTCCAACGGAGAGCAGAAAAATAAGATAATTTCATATATTAATATATCCAACAAGAATATCAAACAGGATGTAGAGTTAAAATCTGAAATATATACCATTCACACAAAGATAGTTACTATTGAGAATTACATAGAGAAAAATAACAAAACTATATTTGATATAGATACCTATATCTGATATCCCAGACCTGGTTGATAAGCGCAGTATATCGTTAGAAGTTATTGAAAAGAAGCTAGAGGGGCAAGATACAAGTATCGATATGTTGTTTAATCTTTATAACAATAGCGAACGAGAATCTTAATCAGTTGCCTCTTTCCAGTCAAACTAACAAGGCGTGCCATTATATCGACCGCTATTTTAGACAGTCAATGTATTCTTGGAGTAAACAATAGATATTTTATAAAATAAATATCTGTAGTCGATACAGAAACATGGGCTACCTAACACTGGAAGCATTCACATATTACACAAGATGGGAAAAATTGTAAAACCAACAAATGGCTCGAACACATTTTTCATTAGCTGTTATTAGAGTATGGAGATGTAGAGTATGAAGAACTCGATTGGATTTTAAACTCGCTCAAATTCGAATGCATATATATCAAAGGTGAACAGAAACAAGAAACTTTATGGTGACTGTGGTGGGTGTTTTTTCCTCGTTTTTTTTCAAAAAGAACAAAAAATATACCTATAAACATCAATTTAATTTTAATCATAAATAAGTAATCTAGGCATTTACTTTGGTCACACTATTGTACCAAGAATAGTCTTCTCTTATTAGTTATTATCTTATTAGTCTCTTATTAATTGGCGGCTCATTTCAACTTTTTTCTAAAAGGGAAAAAAAGAAAACATAAATTAAAAA